CAGAAACAAAAGGACAAATACTGAATAATTCCACTTATATGAGGTACTTAGTCAAATTCATAGAGACAGAAAAGTAGAATGGGGGTTGACAGGGGCTGGGGGAAGGAGGGATGAGGGTGTCATTGTCTAAAGGGTCCAGAGTTTCAGTTTGGGAAGATGAGGGAGTTCTGGTGATGGATGGTTTCATAACAATATGAAGGTATTAAATGCCACTGAAGGGTGCACTTAAAAATGGTTAAGATGGTAAATTTTATGTTATGCATATTTTACCACACACACATACACAGGAAAAATCCAAACACTGACCACTGCTTACAAAGGTCTTGGGACTCAGTTTTGTTCATCTCTTAAACTCACTTTGTACCAGTGTTCTTCTTGTCTCTTTGCTCACTGCAGCCCTGTGGCCTTATTTCTGCTCCAATAACACACCTAGCCTCAGGGCCTTTCCACTGGCCATTCCCTTTACAGCAGACCAGCCAGAGTAGCCCTTCCTGGCTACCTTGGTTAAAAGAGCTCCCTGAATATTCACTAGCCCATCATCCTGCATTCTTTTTCTTTTTCCTCTAATTTAATTTCTTCAGAGTACTTACTATCTGAAATTATTTATTTTCTGTCTTTCCCATTAAAAAAGTTAACTCTAAGAAGATAGAGACCTTGCCTAGCCTGTTCACTGCTGTAGCCCCATGGGCCCGCACAGGGTGTGGTGCCCGGTAGGTAACTAAAAAAAAAATACTTATTAAGCAAATCAGTGAACGCCTGCCTTTGTTTAGTCTTCTCTTGTGGGCTGCCCCACTCTTCCTTGGCTTCTGAAAAGGCTAGAAAAGAACAACAGAAAAGCCTTTCTTGTAGGCAGGATTTCCTCACTCATTTTTCCTGTTTTGTTTGTTTTTATTCTGTTTTCATGCCCATCTGTGTTCTATTCAGCCTTGAATCTAACTGCAACTGGGAAATTTTTATTGATTAATCCATTTGGAAGGATAAAAGGAGAAATAAACAAGTATGACACCCTTTGGGAGTGTTCCACGATTCACTGGTCCAGATAGAACACATGGACACAGGGCCGAATTTTCAAACCTAAGTCAAGATTCACTGTTGGCCACTTTCCATTTCCAGGTGTAAGGAGGAGACTGGCAGATGAAATTAACATAATTTCTCGATGGGCAGAAACAGAAGGAAACAGCGAAATGGAAACTTCCCCGGAAAATCCAGGACCCAGAGTTACTATCGAGAGGACTTCTTACATTATAAAACACGTATACAGGTAAAGCAACTTTACCTGTTGAAATACACACTGGAAGTTGTAATTCAACTAAAATCAGAGGCTTTGAACAATTCCCAACTTGCATTACTTAGGAGTTTAGGAGGCCACGAGAGGACTTGCCACTTCGATTCTGAGCAGCATGGGGAAATAGAAGTGGGGGAAATCTTGAGCTAATCCAAAGTGCTCCTCAAATGTCTCCTCCCCCAGGTTTCACAATGTGTTTCCCGCCTCAGGGCCGCCCTTCTTTCTCTTCACCTCCCTCCCTTCCTCTAGCAGCCCCCCCTCCTCCCCGCCACTGGTCACCATGACCTGCTCACTCCTCTCTCCCTGATGAACCTGCTCACTGAGGGTCCTGTTCACTTCCTGACACTCTGGGTTCTAGGTGTGTCTGCTTTCCTCCTATCCATCCGACAAATCCCCATAGGAGGGCGGCCTAGGTTCCCTCCCCGCTCAGGCTCCCCGAGGGGCAGGGCAGGGCTTTCAACACAGGGATGCCCTGTTGGGGGCACGGTGGACCGATGGGCCTCGACGGCCCGTTTCGAGAAGCTTGTAGAGTGTGCCAGACCAGGAGTGGACCTGGCTGCTGAACGGGCCACGCAGGAACGAAATCGGTGCCTGGGCTTCGGACTCCAAAGTGGGAAAGAAAAAAGTTCCCCAGCTTGGCACCAGGCCTCTTCCCACCCAGGCCAGTATCAAATGTCTGCATATACTCATGGTCCTACCTCTGCTTCCGGGCGGCAGGAGGGGATGGCAGAAGAGCATATGGACACACACAGCCCCTGTTTGTGTGTGCGTAACGAGAGCCAGTTAATCTGATCAAACGGTCAAATGTGGGACATCTTTTTTTTTTTTTTTAAAGATTTTATTTATTTATTTGAGACAGAGAATGAGATAGAGCATGAGAGGGTCAGAGGGAGAAGCAGACTCCCCGGCGAGCAGGGAGCCCGATGCGGGGCTCGATCCCAGGACCCCGGTATCATGACCTGAGCCAAAGGCAGATGCTTAACTGACTGAGCCCCCCAGGCGCCCCAGTATTTTTTCTTGAAAATCATTCAAAATTTAACTTAGCTTCATTCTATGCATTATCTGTGAAATCATGTGCTTGATATGCTAGTTTCTTTGTTTAAAACAAAAAATGTTCACCAATGTACCGCCTAAAATCATCGTGTGGGCCAGTGGCATAGGACATGGCTTGATAATGACTTTGTCTTGATCGCACAGGTTGGCAGCCTGTTCAGTGTCCCCCGCCACTCCTTTCCTTGCTTCAGCTCTGTGTCAAGTGCCTCTTCCTTACCAAACGCTGGGCATTCAGGGCAGGCTGAGGGACTGGAGTCAGGGAGGTCACTAGTTAGTCCTCAGGGAAGAGCTGGGGCACTGTAAAGCATGGGACACATTCCCAGCATGCCAGGTAACTGTGACATGTCAGTAGATGGTTGTTTTGGGGTCACTGCTGGTGACAGAGTCAGCGCGGTGGCTTCTGGGCAGGGGAGGAGGTGAAGCTGGGTGTGGGTGAGAGCAAGTGCTCAAAAAGTTTCCAAAGTTACTCTAAAACCTCATTCGGCAGGGGACGCCTGGGTGGCTCAGTCGGTTAAGCGGCTGCCTTTGGCCCGGGTCATGATCCCAGGGTCCTGGGATCGAGTCCCACATCGGGCTCCTTGCTCAGTAGGGAGCCTGCTTCTCTCTCTCTCTCTCTCCCTCTGCTTG